GAGGGAAGGAGGAGGAGGAGGAGGAGAAGGAGGAGGAGGAAGGAGAAGGAAGAGAAAGAGAGAGAAAGAAAAAGGGGGAGGGAGAGTACGATGGAGAGTACGATATAGAAGGAGAGAGGAGGGCTCCCAAGGAAAGGCGAAAGAGAGACGAGCCGAATGGAAAAGGGTGCGGTAAGGGAGACGGAGGGCGGGAGTGAAAAAGAGCGAGCGAGAGAGAGAGAGAGAGAGAGAGAGAGAGAGAGAGAGAGAGAAAGGAAGAGGTGCACGCGGAGTTCCGAGTGAGAGAGGGAAAGAGAGAGAGAGAAAGAGAGAGAGAGAGAGAGAGAGAGAGAGAGAGAGAGAGAGAGAGAGAGGCGAACCGAGAGAGGCATCGGGCAGACTAAATAATATTATAGGTGGTGTTCTCACGGTCCCGGGACGCCCGCGGGCCAACTCGTCACCCCTTCCCCCCGCATGGTCCCTCTCCCTCGTCTTATTCTCTCCTCCCGCTCTCTTCTTCTCTTCTGGCCGCTCCTCTTACTCCCCCGCGCGTAAGCTTCGCCCACGCTGAGCCCTCACGGAGGGCCCCACGGAGTCGTTCTCTCCGTCCTCTCCGTCCCGCTCCGGTGTGAGACGGAGAGGCCTCGAGACCGTGCCGCGATGCCGGACGCAGACGAAGACGCACGAAGGGTCAGGGGTCACCTCGCGCTCGCTGACCGTCACCGTGGACGGTTCCTTCTGCCCTTCCCTCCTCACCGCTCCTCCCACCCTGCTCTTTTTTCCTCTTGGGCTACGTCGAGAAGCGGGCCCCCCCCCTCCCCGCGCGCTCTTTCCTCCCGCGCGTTCGTCTTTTACTCCCCTTTCGTATGCCTCCGATGCCCTCGCGAGAGTCCGACTTTTCTCCTCCTTCTCCTTCCTCTTTCCGCCTCACCCGTCTTCCTCCTCTTCGCTCGCCGCGAAGAGTCCACCTCCGCGAAAGTTGACAGGCTCTACCCAGTTAATCAAGTAGCGAGTTAATTGCCCGGCTAGAACGTAATACGCGCGCCCGCGGGACTTTATTTGGACACGCTGACTGATATCGGGAGAGATGCGCTGTGCGTGTGTGTATGTGTGTGTGTGCGTGTGTGTATGTGTGGCTAACGATGCGGCCGTTTATTTTTTCCAACTGGTCTAGATCGGATTTGGAATGGTACGGTCTATGGTATAAATGGGGGGAATACACGTCACACGCACACGCCTGTCGGCGATCTGTGTTTCACGTCGTATCCCATCGGTCGTTTCCCCATTGTGTCCCGACGTGTCACAGCGTATTAACATGCGACAGTCACGCGTACGGTAATGTCAATGCTCGCGTGACTGTATATACGTGTCCTCGGAACGGCGATATCTCATGGAATCTTCACACGCCGAGCGTATCGAGCATTTCGTTGCGTCATCATTGGAATTTCGATCGCCCGGTATTTGCCTTTCCATCGTGCTAGTCCATCGGCGTGGACGCGAGTCCACAGCCGAAGCCGGTGAGCGCAGCGTTTTTCAGCTTTTTTTCTTCGTCGCGATCGCGAGTCGTTGTTTTGATGTCTCTAAGCTCGAAAGTTTATGATGTTCCCATACGTAACAATGTGGCATTCGAAGCGACTGCACGGTGTGTTGCGACCAACGCCGCGCGATTTGATACGTCGGAAAATCCGGAGCTCCGACTGTCTGGCGAGAGAGACCTCGCGAGCAGCGTTTAAATCGATCAATAAAGTAACGCGGCGTGACATGAGAAATTCCTCGCGACCGGTGACCTGCGTTAAATCGAAAAGAAAGGGCCCGATTCATTGTCCTCGAAGCGATTCCAACCAATGTGTTCGATACAACACTTTACGACTTTAAACGCGAACGAGACACGTGTGTACGCATGCTCGCTCGTGGCGAGAAAACGTTTCGGAAAATCTCTCTCTCTCTCTCTCTCTCGCAACAAAAGCTGCGGAATCACGTGGCGTGTATGCAACAGCCCGAGATGAGAAGCCCCGATGTAACAATGTTCAAATTACAAATCAGTATCATTTTGCTCTCGCAATCGAATCGCAATTTCATCGGGCGACTGGAAAGGAAGGAAGGAAGGAAGGAAGGAAGGAAGGAAGGAAGGAAGGAAGGAAGATGGCGACATCGCAAATAACAATGCGATTGTCCAACCTTGTCTCTCATCGGCGCATTCTCTCATATTTGTAAATACAGCGCGATAATCGTGGCGAAGAGAGCTGTCTCGAAAAGGTGGTGGCACCTCGAAAGGCGAAGCGATTCGCCTTTCTTCTCTCGGCCGAGCGAGCGCCATCCAGCCCCTTTCAATTTGCTCTTGTTTCCTCAATGCGGTGAAGCACAGAGGGAGGCCGCGACATCCCGCCGCGTAGATAATTAGATCGCTACTAAGCACCTCCACTTTCACGCATCTTCACCTCGGCGCGGTTGGTTGCGCGCCGCCCGCGCCCGCGCCCGCGCCCGTGCCCGGGCACTTGTTTCTCTCCTTGTTGTTGCGCCGCCGCGCCACCGTAGCGTAGCTCCCCCGCGCGAGTTCTCGCCCCGTTTGTTTCTCCCCGGCTACATGCGCGTTCACGGCGTGATACAACCGGTCCCCCTCGACGTGATAAAGGGAGGCACGCATCGCGCCGCTACTCTGACCTACCGCGACCGCGCGCGATTTCAATGATCGATCCTCCTTTTACCTCCGTCCCCCTCCGTCCCGCTCTAATTTCTCTCACACGCGCGATACTCTGTTACTCGGTGCAATTAATTCGCTGCCGTATATAGATTCTCTCACGAATGTTCTTCTTAGAGTCGCGGTAACCGGAGAGCCAAAAGACGAAGAAGCGATGTTGGGTGGAACCAAGGGGGGGGTGGCTGTGCCACACGTCGTTGCTTTCACGAATCGTCACCTCTGCGCGCGAAGTCTCATCTAAATCTTCGCACCGTCTGCGCTCTCTCTCTCTCTCTCTCTCTCTCTCTCTCTCTCTCTCTCCCCCCTCCCCCTTCCTCCAACTCTGACCGTCCTCTTTTCTCGCCGCTCTCCCCTCCCCCCGCCCCTCCACCTCTTGGCCGGCCGATTCTTTCTCCCTCTAACCGATTACACGCTCGTTGATGCCGCGGTATCGCGAGACGCCGGCCGGGGCACAAAGAGGAGGCGGAATGAACGAGAGAGGATCGAGACGATGAAGAGAGAACAGAAAAAAAGAGAAAGAGAGCACGGACGTCCGTGGACCCTCCGTCCGGGATCGCGAGATTGATTTGTCCAATTACGCTAAACAATCCCCGGGATAATTCGATCGTTCGGTATCCTGGGACCGTTCTCGCGAGGTCGCCCGGCTCCCAAGCGAGCTTTCTGCAATTTGTGAATGTAAATTCCCGTTCTCCGCCGATCGCGCGCGGTATTACACGCGTCTCACGACGCGAAATTAGCCGATTCGCCGGCCAAACGAGCCCACGAATTTATCGTGTCCGTAAGCGCAGATCGTTAGCTCCGCTTTTGACTAATGAGCCACGTCGTGGCCGCTTTGACGAAACGAAAAAAGACCCGGCCACTCAATAAGACAAATGTGTCACCTACGCTACGCGAATTTACCTCCTTTTTCTTCCTTCTCCTCCGTTCCCTCTGCCCCCTCGCCCCCATTCCTCTCTTTCGCTCCCTTCATCCACGACTCGTCGACTCACGAATCTCGCGCCGGAAA